AGCATGAGGGAATGACGAATAATGACTTTGTTTGCAGCTGGGAATGATCCTCCATTAACTAGACTTACCATTATCTTGACCTAATATCAACGAGTACATGCTTCTCAGTCCAAAGACATTCAGGAAATACCATGAAGCTGAGCTCACCCTGAAAAAGCAAAAGGAATGCACACAGAAAAACAGACAACCACACACTTGCTTTAACATTTTTATATAAACAAAGTTAATGCTGCAGTGGATGTCTGAAAGTCTTGTTTCAGTCCTTTACCAGGAAGCATCTAATGAGAGCAGCTCTATTCCTTGCTGCAACATGGGCTTAAACCGCAACGTGAGAGGGAAGGGAACCTTAGCTGTGTTGAAACACAAGCACAAAGAGAAGACAACTGTTACATAAAAAACTCCTACTTATAATCATGTACAACAAATTTAAGGGTAATTGTGTGGAACTCATTATGTGGCAGTAACATATCAGAAGAAATAATATTACTTGTTACAAATCCTGAAAAGGTCCAGTTGATCCAGCCACCGATGAGGATCATGGGAAGCACGTTGGTGACATTACCTTTCATCATGTCTGTCAGCATGCTGGGATCTGGGAAAACACAAGAGAAGTTGTTTTGTCTACACATCATTCCTATAAGTTTCTGACTTTAAAATTCCAGACTTTTCCAAACTCTCAGTCTGAGGACAATACATTTATGTTTTGAGCTTTCTTTTGTAGGTCAGACAAACTCCTAATATAAAATATACAGAAAAGAGTGCACCAAGACAGACCGCAGGGACAAAATACTTGCACCCGTTTTTCTCATGAATCTGTGGTCAAGTTATTTTAAGTACATAAGGCGACTGTCTGATTCCAGCTTCCCCCTGCCACATGTCGATGTGCCCCTAGGCAAGGCACTTAACCTGAAGTTGCTTACCTATCTGCACATCAGTGTATGAATGTGTGCGAGTTATTGAGTGCCATTGGGTGAATGTGGCTCTAGTGTAAAAAGCTTTGAGTGATCAAAATGACTGGAAAGGCGCTATACAAGTTCAGTCAATTTACCATTTATACCATTTAAATGTATTTATTTAGCAAAACTAAGCTTCCAGTCAAAATACAAACATATTAATTATGTTTTAGAAAAAGGTAGGCTAATATAGACTAAAATTTGGAAACATTTTTACTTTTTCCATATATATCAAGTCTATTACTATTTTGTTTTATTAAACCAGTTTGTTATTTTTATTAAAACAACAAATGAGAAGAAAATACTTTTGTTAAAAAGAAGCAATCAAATACTGTTGCTCTGTTTGGACCACATTTCAAAAATAACTTTTTTAATTCAAAACAAAAATGTGCACTTAGTGGAGCTTACACCCCAATGATGATGAGAAGCAGTGATTAATACAAATAGGCGTACCTGTCATGGGAGATGGTGGAACAACCTTCCTTTTGGTCTTCTTAAAAAAGCCGTCCTCTTGATTGTTGAAGTAGAACTTCCTCATCAAAAAAGACTAGAACACACAGAGAGATCATTAGTGGCTCTGTTGTTAACACAGGCATGATAAAGAACAGCAGATGGTAGATCAAATCAACCATGATTGGTCATGCACTCGTTTTAGTTTACAATAATTAAGTTACACCTGCTAGAAGCAATTCTGAATGCTGTTAGCATAAAGTTCTCTGAAACAAAATATCACCTCACCTATTAAGTTATGATGCTAAAGATTTTGTTTAGACAGATTTCTGAACAATATTTGAGAGAAATAGGCCTTTTGTGTACTTAGAAAAAGTCTTAGATCTTTGGGTTTAGCTCATGAAAAGTGGCAGCAACAACTAATGGTTTTTTTTATATTTTTATTTAGTAGGGATGTTTGGCTTTCAGGTGAAATGTATGGAATACGTAAAACGTTCACGCTACAGCGATATTATATCATGAAAGTAGAGCATTTAAGTAGAAGCATGCAACGGTGATTTCCTCATCTCAAAAAATGTATTCACCATTAAAGGTTATAGTGCATTTTAGGTTCATCCTGAAATTTCACCTGAAAGCCGAATATCCCTAATGTTTTGAGTAGTGCATTACTGCCCTGTAAAATCTAATAAATCCAAATATAGTGTGTCTGCTATAAACTCTACTTTTGTGAAGCATTAAAAAAAATTATTTTCACAATTGCTTAGATGTGTATTAATGAAATTGGAAAAAAGCTGAATTCTTTATATTTTATTTTGGATGTAAATGATTTAGGATGCTGATCTAGTCAGATAGTTGAACAGTCTGCTTTTATATGTCTGATAAGTTTTAATTTTGTTTTCTTTTAACTTATATTACTGCCATTATTGCGTTTTTCTTTGAGAGTTTTTATTATAATTAAAAGATATTTTTGAGATTGATGTCTTACCTGTTTGGGAATGTATTTTCCATTTTCTCTGAGAATTCTGCTCCGAATAAGAACCTGGCTGGACATTTCAAAAGCACATAAACACAACACACATTAATGCATTTTAGTTGAACATGTAGTTTCCATGTATTTACAAATGCAACCTGCGCACCTGTCTGAAACCTGCTCTAAGGTCAACTTCTTGTCGCTCTGCAGAAGAATTGACACATAATGCCGAATCACGCCGACGAGAAATGTGATGAAGACAATGGGTAGAACCACCCATAGTCTTATGTTGGAGTCCAGTAGAAGCTCCGGTTCGGCCATTCTGTCAGGAGGATGGCTAGGGACAGAACAGAACAAAACAGAGGCTTTACGTCAGGGTACGACAGACGTTACTCAAAACTAATTGATGAACCCGATGTACCGTCTTTAAAAAAAAAACTTATTTCATCCTCAGATAACTTCTTAAACAGCATAATATTTAATACTTTTAGCAATCTGTGAACCATTAGAGATAGGCTCCATCAAGTCACTATAAAATAGCCATAGAAAAACACGCTAACGCTGTGCTAACGTTAGCCAGCTGACTACCGTCTTCCTGATGTCCGTCACGGAGGGTGGGTACCAGCGAGTCGTCCCGAAGAGGCGACCCCACTTTGAGCTTAATTTCCAGGCAGCGAAAGACACAACACATCCGCTGTATGAGGGTATTAAATATGAGAAGTTATGTTATAAACCGGCGTCACACCTCATTTACAAACGGTTGCGCTGACTGCAGCGAATGATGAGAACGAATTTCTGCTTCTGCAGCTCGCTACGGGTTATCACTCGGTGGCGCTGCAGCGCCACCCTGCGGTAATGGAAGAGATCGACGAAGCTGCTCGCGTTTGACTTCATAACAGAAGTGAATGTAATAAAGAACAAATAATAAATGAATGCATAAAACTCCATACAAAAAATAATGTCACAATAAATATTTGAAATAAATGTAAAAAAAATTCTATACACTACACTTGTCCTGACTTTTGTTTGGAAGTTGCTTCTTTTTTCATCATTTCTCATCTAGTCCTTTTTAAACCCAATGGCAACATATTGTGAAGTATGTGATTAAAAAATTGGAAGACAAAAGTATGCCTAAGAAATATGTAAAGTAAATGGTATTTCAAGATGCAGTAAAGCAAAAATCAAAAGAGAAAGACTGATTTGGTGACACAAGCTGGTTAAAAGGTAATTGTATCTTTAGTTTTCTTTATTTACCATCACCCTGTGAGACCCTTGTGTTGTCCACTTCTATTGGACAACACAAGTACATTGTGCATTTGAATGTTGCACCAATGTTCTCACTAACCCTCCTCCCGTCCTGTTCCTATGTGAAATCCTACAAAAGCTCACATTACTTTGTAGCATTTGATTAAGATAAAGAATTGGCTTATTTTTATTTACATTGTAAGACAGCTGATTTAGGCAACTTGTCAGGGAAAACAGGAAATCTATGGGGAAGAAAAGATGAGTTTCAGCATTTTCATCAGTAAGTGGAGAGAACCCATTCCCAACCCCCTACAGTCTACACTTTTGGCTTTAATGAGAGTCTGATTCACTTCTGGACAACACTTACTCATAGATTGGTTCATCCCTTCACCTGCCAAGTATTTTCTAAAAGCCCTTGTTCTTTGTCAGAACATTTCTAGCAATGATGTCCCAGATGGTTTTGTTTAACAAACCATCTGGTGCATCGGGTTAAAACATAATGTTACTTGGAGCTACTTAGGCTTGCATGAAGAGTGCACTTCCTGTTCTGAGTGAAGCTAGTTTTTTATTGTTAAAAACCAACTGTCCCGCTGTTTCATAGCCCATTCTGCTCCAGCTCAGTCACATGGATAATTTCTCATCTCCGTTTAGCAACCGAAGAGCTCAGTGTGAAAGGGATAAGCTGGCAGCACTCCGATCCAAAGCATTCTGATTTCCTTCTAAATGAGAACAAAACCCTTCCTTCAATTATATCTCATCTATAAGGGTATATAATTAGGTTTCAAAGTTTTGCAGCCTTAACAATAAAATGCAGGTGATTAAAATGTGTTGCTGATTTTACAGAAACATCAGCAGACTTGTCAGTGATTATGTTAACAGCCCACTGTGTGACATGGCTAAGAGTGTATTTGCATGTAGAGCAAACTAAATGAGATCCACAGATGGCTTTCAATTCCAGGTGTGCACAGTCATGATTAAAATTGTCTACTATTGGTAGAACTCATTTTAACACCTATTCGGGCAGGTTTGCAGTATTTAATCATACTATATGCTCTGTGTTAAAAAATTAACAGCAAAATTATTAATTATTTGTAATCAAAACATTTGATTTCTGTAATTTTTTTCTTTTGATTTTGATCAATAGTACTACCATACTCATAAGAAACGATTTTTCTGATAGAGAGAAGCAGATCTACACCACCCTAAAACTGTTTTCCATCACATTGAATCATGGTCTTCACAAAAAATAAAAAACCTAAAGAGGACTTTGTTGTTTTGTCTTTCAGTGCACCATGCAATGAAAAAGTATTCGCTTCTTAGACATTTTTTTCTGTTTTTGATTTTCTGTAACAGTTTCAAATAGTCAAGTAAGTTTTAAGGTCTGCAGGGTGGTGTAGTGGTTAGCACTCTTTCCTGCAGCAAGAAGGTGTTGGGTTTGAATCCCGCCTCGGGGTCTTTCCGATTGGAGTTTGCATGTTCTTCCTGTGTATGTGTGGATTCATTCCAGCCTTTGTTCCACAGTCCAAAAATGTTTGTTTATTTGGTCTTTCTAAATTGCCAGCAGGAGTGAGTGTGTGTGTTCATATGTCTCTAAGTTATAATTGACTGGTAATGTGTACAGGCTGTACTCTGCCTCTTGCCCAATGACTGTTGAAGAAGTTGTAATATTGAACAAAGACAACCTGAGTAAGCACAAAATGCAGTTTTCAAATGATGATTTAATTTATAAAGAGGAAAAAGATATCCAGTCCAACTTTGCTCCATGTAAAAAACTCACTCTTAAATTGTGAATTAAATGTGATTTGCCACTTCTTCCTGGTTCAGTTTCACCGGACACACACGGGTCTGTTACTGTCTTACCTAGAAAATCAAGGATTCCCTTAAACAGAACCTGTATAACAACATGAAGTAGGCTAAACTATCTCACAAAAACCCAAACATCATGACCCAATTCAATGAAATTCAAGAACAGCTGAGAAATAGATTGCTATTGATATCTATCAGTCTGGAGAGGCCTACAAAGCCCTTTCTTTGGCTTTGGGACTCCAGTGATCCACAGTGAGAGCTATGTTCCAACATTAGAGAAAACATGGAACAGTCGGGAACCTTCCCAGGAGTGGCTTGCCTACCATAATTAACCCAAGAAAGCAATGATGACTCATCCAGGGAGTAACGAAAGAGCCCAGGACAACATCTAAATCACTGCAGGCCTAAGTTTAGGCCAGTGCTCATGATTCAACAAAATGAAACCTGGGCCAAGATCACTGCTGACCAAAAAGAACACAAATTGGTCTACAAGTTTTGGGAAATGTTCTGTGTACTGACAAGACAAAAGTTAAACTTTTTAGATGGTGTGCATCCAGTTACATTTGCCATAAAACCTATATCTGCTTATCAAAAAGGAGAATATCATACCAACAATCAAACCTGACGATGGCAGTGTGATGGTCTAGGTCTGCTTTGCTGTTTCAGGATCTAAAAGACTTGACCTAATTAATGGAACCATGCATCCTGCTCTCTACCAGAAAATATTTATGGTTGGTGATCTTAAGCTCAAAGTGGACTCGGGTTACACAGCAGGACAAAAATTCACAGCACAGCTCTGAATGATTTAGAAAAAGAGTCAAGGGTCACACAACCAGTAAGAAGGTTTATGGGGTGATTACCTTTACAGATAGGACCAGATTGGTGTGAATAGCCTTTTAACTGTAAAAATTATTTCACCATTTGAAATTTAATTTGTGTGTTCACTCTGGTTAAATTTAACTGATACTCTGTAAGTGTGAGAAACATTGCAAAATCTAAATAAATAAACTATATAGGTACCTAGATACATTTCCAACTGTTGCATCCCTCTAACAAAGAAATAGAAAAAAAACATCTGAAGTTGTAGGTTTGTCCCTATTAAAGATAGTGTCAGAGTTGGGAGTGTGGCCTGTTTGCAGCTAACCATCTTCCACCCCAGGTGCTGCCTGGGTTTGTGATTCGAGGATGCAACAGGTGTGGCTCGTTTCGGTGATCACTGGAGGAGTATAAGAGGATGGATTGCCAGCACTTCTTTGCCTGAGTGTTTTGCCCTTCAGCGGTACAACTATCTGGCCTCACCCTGTTCTTTCAACCTTTGAATCTTGTTGTTCTTGAGAAAAAGAAACAAGCCTACCTCCTTGTCTTGCTCCTCCTAGGACTCAGACCGAGCCACGCTCCTTGGTGGTGACAGACCACTTCCAAACCTGAAGAAACTGGATCAAGCCCCAGCTAGCGGTCCGCCCCACTCGGTGCTCCTACCCCGCTTATGTGTGTCCTGTCCACCCTCCAACGGTTCTTCCTCGTCCAGACCACGGAAGCTCCAGGCGGTCCCCTGAGCAGCCTCTCCACGGTGTCCAGACACATCAGCCATCTCCCTGGCGGATCTAGCGTCCCCGCAGTCTGTAAGCATTCAGCAGAGTTTGTTGTTAGTTGTCGAATGCCTGATTACTTACCTGACCTGTTTCCTGCAGTCCTCCGGTTCCCGGCAGAGGTTTACATCTTGCCCGTTATTTCCGCCTAGCTTAATAAACAACCTAAACCGTCCACTGTTCTCTGAGTGTTTTTCTGCATGTGGTTCAAGTCAGCCACAAGAAATATGACAGAACACTCAGGCCAGCCGGACCCAGCACAGGCACTTCAGAGAACAGTGTCCGAACATAGCCACCAGATCCATTCCCACGGCGCGACCCTCCGATCCCTCCTTGAGCAGCAGCGGCAGACTAATCGGCAGTTGAAGCAAATGGCGGCACTGCTCCAGCAGGCGTTTGGCACTGAGGTCGCCCAGCCCTCGGGAGGCTCTGCGGAGCCTCCGGTTTCACAAAAACTTCCGCATAGCCAAGATGTCACCACCCCCAATCCCAGGAAGTTCTCGGGTGAGGTCGGGAGTTGTCGTGGCTTTCTTTTGCAATGCGCGCTGGTGTTTAATCGCTCTCCACAGAGCTTTCCCCATGCTGATGGGAAGATCTCCTATATAGTCGGCTTACTGACCGGCAAGGCACTTCGCTGGGGCGAGGCAAAGTTTACCGACCACAACCAGTTCGGGTGCACTTATGAGGAGTTTATTAAAGAGTTTAAACTCACATTTGATTTAGATTCGGACCCGTCTGGTGTGGCTCAAGGGTGGAGGCCTGGTCCACACAGTGTTTGTTCCCCTGTCTGCAGTCTGCCGTCTCCCCTAGGTCCCCTCTTGAGGAGGAGAGGGAGGTGGAGCCGCCGGACCTCCACCGTGTTCCCCCTGAATACCATGATTTAAGACCTGTTTTTAGTAAATCATGAGCTCTGTCCCTTCCAGCTCACCGTCCTTATGACTGCGCTACTGACCTGCTACCCGGAGCTCCATTGCCATCCAGTCGATTATATAAGATCTCACGACCTGAAAGGATGACAATGGAGAGATACATTGCAGAGTCATTAGCTGCGGGCATAATCCGGCCTTCATCATCACCTCTCGGGGCCGGCTTGTTTTTTGTAGGGAAGAAGGACGGGTACCTGCGGCCCTGCATAGACTACAGGGGGTTGAACGCAATTACAGTCAAAAATAAATATCCACTACCACTTCTCTCTTCGGCGTTCGAGCCAGTCCACAGAGGTACTATCTTTACTAAATTAGACCTCCACAATGCTTACCACCTAGGCCGGATCCGCCAGGGAGATGAGTGGAAGACTGCCTTCAAGACGCCGCTGGGACATTTTGAATACTTAGTCGTGCCCTTTGGATTATGCAACGCCCCAGCAGTGTTTCAGACTCTTGTAAATGACATTTTGAGGGATTTTCTAAATTTGTTTGTGTTCGTCTATTTAGACAACATTCTGATTTACTCGAAGCACCCACAGAACACCACCGTCATGTCCGCCTGTTGCTGCAGCGTCTCCTGGAGAACCAGCTCTATGTAAAAGCCGAGAAGTGTGAGTTCCACCAGCTGTCGATCAGCTTCCTCGGCTTCATCCTCGAGGGTAGACAGGTCCGCGCCGACCCGGAAAAGGTCAGGGCAGTGGAGAACTGGCCCACCCCAAACTCCCGGAAGCAGCTGCAGCGGTTCTTGGGCTTTGCCAATTCTTACTGCAAATTCATCCACAACTACAGCCAGACGGCCAGCCCCCTCACGGCCCTGACCTCGACCAAGACCACCTTCATCTGGAGCCAGGAGGCCGAGGCAGCCTTCACTAAGCTGAAGAAGAAGTTCTCCCAGGCTCCGGTGCCCATACACCCCAACGCCAGCAAACAGTTTACATTGGAGGTGGACGCCTCAGACTCCGGAGTGGTGGCCGTGCTGTCTCAGTGCCACGACCAGGATGGGAGGCTCCATCCAGGTGCCTACTTTTCCCGCCGACTGTCACCTGCTGAAAGAAACTACGACGTCGGCGACCGAGAACTCCTCGCCATCAAGCTGGCTTTGGAGGAGTGGCGGCACTGGCTGGAGGGCGCTGAACACCCCATGCTGGTATGGACAGACCACAAAAACTTGTCCTACATTTAATCTGCTAAACGCCTGAATTCCCGCCAGTCACGCTGGTCGTTGTTCTTTTCACGGTTTAACCTGTCCATCTCTTTTAGACCCGGTTCCAAGAACATTAAGCCTGACGCGTTGTCCCGTCAGTTTGCCCCAGATGACTCGGAGAGACTAGCGGCTCCCATCCTGCCACCTAGCTGCACTGTGGGCCCTGTGACCTGGGAGATTGAGGACAGTGTGAGGCAGGCCCTTCTCACTGACCCGGGGCCTGGTACTGGACCAGCCAACCGCACCTACGTGCCTCCCGCGGTGCGTTCCTGGCTCATCAAGTGGTTTCACTCATCAAGGTTTTCCATCCACCCAGGCGCCAGTCGAACCATCACCGCAGTCACCAGGAGGTTCTGGTAGCCCACGCTCCATAAGGACGTCAAGGACTATGTAAACGCCTGCCCCGTCTTTACACGGAGTAAGTCATCCAACCATCCACCCGCTGGCCTACTGTAGGCGCTTGAGGTTCCCCGACGACCCTGGTCCCACATAGCATTGGATTTTGTCACCAGACTGCCGAACTCCCTGGGCATGACCACAATCTTGAGCATAGTCGACCGCTTTTCCAAAGCGTGTCATCTTGTCCCCATCAGGAAGCTGCCCTCCGCACTTCAGACTGCAAAGTTTCTTGTCAAGCACGTGCTTCGCCTCCACGGGATTCCCATAGATGTACTCTATGACTGGGGCCCCATGTTCACCTCCCTGGTTTGGAAGGAGTTTTGTGCGGCACTGGGGGCGAAGTTCTCGCTGACCTCGGGTTACCAGGTCAGCCGACCGAATAGAGCTCCCACCTGCCATGGATAGAATATTCCCATAACTCCCATGTCTCTGTGGCTACTGGTCTCACATCCTTGGAAGTGTCTCTTGGATACCAGCCCCCTCTGTTCCCCTCGGATGAGAGGGAGGCAGCCTCGACTTCACTTCAGCATCA